TATCAGCCAGGCAGATGAAGATGTTGTCACTGCTTTCGACAAAAGAGGCCGTGGCAACTAGTGTTTTGTCAAAACGATGGCGTTGTCTTTGGAAACAACAAGATGTTGATTATGTAGAGCTTTGTGGTAAATGCTCTGGTCAGCTTATATATCTGGAATATATTCCCCTAGATTTGTTCCAAATCTTTGTCGGAGGCACATCTTTTATAAATCCACTAACATAACATATTAAAACATATTTTTTTTTAGGGTAGATTACTCAAGTATCCTCCAAATCAATGTTTATTAATAGTTTGACACACTTTTATTTTTTATGTTAGATTAACCTCGTATATCGATTTTGCCCTTTTAGGTTTTGTTGAAAAAAACATTATTACAAAAATGTTATTATTTTTTATATGCCACGTAAGCAAAAAGTAGCACGACATTATGCATAAGTCTACCACTATTTGTAGCAGATTTGTTTAAATTTGGTCAACGCAAATTTTTGTTGGTAGATTTATTTGAGAGTTGGTAGATTTGTTGAAGCTTAGTAGACTTGTTTTGGTAGACATATTTTTATAGCATAGTAGACTTATTTTTTGTTGGTAGATATATTTATTGTTGGTAGATTTATTATCTTTAATGATAGACTTATGAAAATATCGTTGACTTATAGTAAGTGTTTGACTTTTTTGGTAGATTTAAATAGTAATGACGACATATTTATTTGTAATAGTGACAGATTCATTTAGTTTGATGTACAGTAGACTTATTTTGTTTGGTAGACTTATTGCTATTAATAGTAGCTTTATCAGGAGTTGGTAAACTTATTTGTATGTATGGTAGACTTAAAACAGTCGTATTTTAGAAAATAATGTGGTAGATTTAATTATAAGTATGATAGGTTTATTAAATTTTGGTAGATTTAATATTTGTAATTTACAATACTGGTAGACTTATGTTTGTATTTTGTTCTTACTCAATTAACCTGCACTTTGAAAAATAATCTTCAGTTTAGTAGACTTATAATTATTTGGGTGATGGTAGACTTATGAAGCTGGTTTATAGTAGACATTTGACTTTTTTAAAATTTGAAAATACATTTTTGCCCAAATTTGTTCGTAAATATTAAAAAAAAAAACCGATTGTGTCATCTTCTTCGATTAGGGTTGCAGCCGTCGAAATGTGATACTTGAAAATTTATATTTTATGGTAGACATGTTATTTGAATAACCACTTGTAGTATACTTATTTATATTTTATAGTAGACATATTATTTGAAGTAGCATTTGTAGTAGACTTATTCACATGTTTCATAAGTAGATCAGGGTTGAAGAAGTCAAACTTTTGGCTGTGCAAGTTATTGACGCATATCAGTAAGAGGTTATTGGCACAACTTCTGCCCATGTTGTCAATTTGAAGGAAAAAACATGTACCGGCCGTCGGTTTGATCTTGATAAAACCCCTTGTGTACATGCCATAGCCGCTGCGGAAGCAAGAAAACTTCACGAATCTCCCTATGTCATCCCTACTACCAAACAAATTACTTGCAACATGCTTACGCAGGAAGTGTAATGCCAAGAGATATAGCACTACCAGTGCCAGAAGAAGTGGCTAACAACATTTTTCATCCTCCTTTCGTTTGCAATCCTCCAGGCAGACCAAAGAAGACACACATTAAGAGTGCATTCGAGATCGTGACATCGAACAAACGTCCAAGACAGATGCCTAAATGCTCTACTTGTGGTAAAAGTGGACATAATCGCATCACATGTAAAACCTAAGTTTTATACTCTCTTGTAATAATCGGTTTGTTAGACTTGTAACACTTGCTTCATTTTTGTACTCTCTTCTAATACTTGTATCGTCGTACTTTTTTAAAAAAATTGTTGTCGACCTAATTGATGCAAAATATTCCAATAATTAACCGTTTTAACATTAAGTATACCAAACTTTCAAAGAACCAACATCATGCCAAAAAAAAATCATGGTCCTTTTAAAGTCTAGTTCATCAACAAGTCCTAAAAGAGTCTGCCATAGAAGTCTTCCGTCGTTAGGGTTCGATGTACAAAACAATAAAAGTCTACATTCGTTAGGGTTAGACATAACAAGTCTACCGTCATAACTGTTTGACATACAAAATAAGTCTACCACTCTCAATCATTTATGGAAACTCTTCTTCTGCAGAGGTGATCTCCCAGGCGAAAATAGTGTGGATGGGTACTCCTTCGTCTTGCTAGAAGAGGCCATCTCTGCATATATGTAATAAGAATTAGTTTACCATTCTTAATCAGTTACAAACAAGTCTACCATTCTTTATACGAATATGTCTACCACTCCTCAATCATTTACGAACAAGTCTACCACTCACTATACGAATATGTCTACCACTCTCAATCATTTATGAACAAGTCTACTAAACTAAACTCTATCTTTACTGAACATGTCTACCACTCTCAATCATTTATGAACAAGTCTACGTACTAAACTAAACTCTATCTTTACTGAACAAGTGCACTACTCTTTCTGCTTTTCTAAACAAGTCTACTACTCTTTCTCATTTATGAACAAGTATACTACTCTTTATAGAAACAAGTCTACTACTCATTTTATATATAAATAACAAAAAATCCGCTTAATTAACAATAAATCGACCATAATATAACCCTAACTCACCGTAGATCTTCACCCTCACCGGATTTCCTCTAACCCACCAGGAATTTCCCTAACACCTGCAAACAAAAAATTAGGGTTAGATTTTACCGAACAAAAACGGCGCCGCAAGGTAATTTTCGCTGTCTAATCCTTACTGTCGAATACTAAAACGGCGCCGCAAGGTAATTTCGGAAAGTAATTCCGGCAACTCCTCGAAATCTGCAGACGACTCGAACCCTAGAAGTCGTCGTCGAACTCTGCAGATGCTTTGAACGGTGCAGAAACTTTTGTAAACAAAGAGGAAAGAACATAGAAGTGTGAGGAAGAAGATCTTAACGAAAAACCTTCAATCTCCGCCGGAATCTGGTCGAGAAAGTTCGTTCGTTCCTTTTCGCCTTCGCCATCGCACTCGTCGCCGCTATCGTTCTTTTTTTTCAGAAACCAACAAGACTCTCCAATCTTAACTTAACCTATTTCTATTTTTATTAATATCTCTTTAAAAATAAAACAATATAATTAAAAATGGCAATTCTGTAATACTGTGTATCCTCGGGTTAAAATGAACATTGACAAACTTATTAAAGATTGTCTAGCAAGGTAGACTTATCCAAGAATACTCTGGCAATAAACTATGCTTAGGAGGATAGTTTCATGCATTAACTCTTTTTTTAAAGTTTATTGAATAAAAAAATAAAAAAGAGTAGGGGGTACATGACCCCATATTCACTCACCTGCATCCACCCCTGCTCACGATACCTGTTTGGCAGTTGCTGGTTACATCAGTTTAGTGAACTTTATCGAAGCCTATGACAATTTCGATATAAGAAAATGTAATGTTATTACAAAATGTATGTATGAATTGGGGTAAAGTCCAATGAAGAGAGTACTGTCGCAAAGAGACAAGGAGAGGAAGGTCTATGATTTGTATAGAGAGCACATGAGATGATGGAGTGGGCCGAGAGAATAATAGAGGCATTAGACAGAAAAAGAAGAAGAAGAAGCTACCAAGCAACAAGCAGACAATTTTAGACATTGTCTCTTTCCTTTCTCACAAGTACACTAGTCACTACTCACTAGTCATTAGTCACTCGTCACACTTCAACATATATCTTCATGTATGGCTATGATTTGTTGCACTGTACAAACAGATAATCAAGGGCAATAAAAAAATTAATATATCAAGAAGTGGAATGACGAAATCAGTAAAATAAAATAAAAACTTAACTTAAGTACAAGACTTGCGAAAATGAAAAATTTCTTCGATGTCAGTGGTTTTATGGAATGACGTAATGATTAAATATATTTTTTTAAAAATGAAATTGATGGTGCACGGAGTTCATTACAGCTTTTGTGCGAGGCATGTTGGTCTTAAGAAGTTAAGATTGCGTACAAGTTTGTTGATGACGAAATATGTTAATCTCGAGATCAACCACATTAATTATTTACTTTTCCAATGGCTGGTTTAATCCTTGATTGTAGGTTATTTGTTAAGAAAAAGACCTCTCCGATTTTCTAAAAGGAAAAGATAAGCGTTGAGTATGTTCCCTACTACTTCGACATCCAATTCAATAGATCTATGGTTACATATTTACGGAACCCAACGATCATTCACACCCACCAATATTTATAAGACTTGAATAGAGCTGCCTGAACAAATTATCTGTCATAATTGGTAGAATTCAAGAAAATTTGTTTTCATAGAATTTAAAATATGACAGTCTGGGTTTGGTCTTTGTTCACCGCAAAATAAGGAGCAATGGTCGGAGAGACTACGTAATTAATTAATTTATTAACATAACCTAATGGACCATTTTAAAATGACACATCACCGTCGAAAAAAAAAAAAAAAAAAAAAAAAAAATGACACATCACCGAAAAATGGGTCATTTTCAATCGTTTTCCTATATCTGAGAACATACCCAGAAATACTTGAAAGAAAAAAGTAAGAAAACAGTTAAAGCAGTAAAGCACTTTACAAAAAGGAGTAAAGAAGCTTTTATACTACCTCTTTTTTGTTTCGGCTTTTCTCGTTTATATTTTATTTTGCTTTTTACTTTTATATAACTTTTTGTCTCTTAATTTACCTTTTTCTCTTGATATTGTGATACATCACACACGGTTTACTAAACGACGACACAAAAAGGTTTGAGTGCAACCCATTTCTTCCCACTCATGATGGCAAACCATTGCTCTAAATGGTAAATAGAGACTTCTCAAGTGGTGTACTTACTTCCACCTCGTTATTTCCATGTTTTAAGTTGATTTTCTTCATTTTACTCAGGTTATGTCTTAAAACAACAAATATTAAACTGTTAAGGTGTTTTTGATGTGGATGTAGACTGCTGGACACGTAATCGCTATAGTAGAAAAATTATTCTAATATAATTTAGATAATGGTAACTGGTAATTATACATCACCAGATGTGAAAGGATAATATACAAAAAAAAAAACCACACTTTACGCAAAAACGATCAACACATTAGTAAAAAGCTGAAGCGTTTTAACACTAGCCCAATACCTACCTAATTCAAAACAACACATCACAAGTAGAAAAAAAAAGTTGCAAAATCAAATACTATATCATAATAAGGTTTTATCCTCTATTGGTTGCATCTGTCCTTGTTTCCCTTGTGCTCTTCTTCTCTCATTGTCATCCCCTTCTTTCTCAAATAATCTTCTAGAAATTATAGACAAGAAAAAAGAGCTTTTCGATCTTTCAAATCAAAACTTGGTACCCTTACTAAACCTCTTGTGTTACATTTCTCTAGCTTTGTTCCACTAATCTTGGAACTCTCTTGTTTCTCTTTATCCGGAAGCAAAACTTCTCTATTATACAGAGCTTATAGCCCGAGTAGAATGTAGTAAACAAGTGTGATCGGTAGTGCGATAAGCATTCCGAATATTACCCTGCAATATCAATCCACATAAGTCAATAACATATATTAGTAAACCTTATCTTATGAATGAAATTTATTTTACTTCCGATCCGATATAAAATACTTACCCTGTACTCAAGATTGCTGGATGAACATTGTACTCTTTTGCAAACACAAACGGCACGATTCCTTGAGGCAATGCAGCCTAACACAATGGTACCACAAAACATTCTATTAAATGAATTTTTAGCAGAGATTGCTTAACAAAAAGCGGAATATATTTTAATTTACCTGAACAATGGCCACACGTAATAGATCTCCGCGTAATCCGATACCCATGGCTGCAACGGCCATTACTGCTGGTCCTGTCAAGAACCTCACCGCCATTGCAAAAGTCGCCGTGGAGTTTCCGCAAGCGATTAACTTGGGTTGCAACGCCATGAACAACCCTTCACCATTTGAACAATCAATTTACTAATTAGTATTTTTTTCTTCCACTCAAAAACAAACAAAAGATGGTCCATATACATCATGTAAAATGTAATCTAAAATCCAATAAATGCTGATAGCAATAGCATACACGTTAAATGTAATGTAACTCCAATCAGCTTCCACTTAATAATATTTGGAGGGAGCATGACAACAAATTAAAGAGACACGAGCTTTGTCCTCCCACCACGACCACTTATATAATACGACCTCGCTTCATCGACCCTACCTGTCGGATGGTCCATCCCGTAAATGGGCCACCCAACAAAATCTAAAAAAAATACTAAAAACCATTTTCGACTATCAACCAAAAAAAAATATGCTGAATTTCCGTACGAATGCGTATACTCACCCAAACTGAACATTGCCATACCAAGACCAGCATCAGAGAGAATTGAGATTGATTGCTGAATGATTTTAGGCATCGCCACATTCCACCTTCATAATCCAATCACCAATAAGTTCTAATCACATAATAGTTTTGCATATTGATTGATTTTGTTTATTTAGTTACCGGAAAGCGACGAGGGCCCAAATAAGGCCAATGAGACTAGAGTAAGTGTTTGGGTTTCTGATCAGTTTTCTCCACACCATTATCAGTATCAACCGAGTCATCACACTCGCCGGCGGCATATGTTTAACCGGTCCGGTTTCGTTGGCTTCTTTAGGGTTTAGCTCCGCCGTAGAGTTACATCGAAGCTTGTGTAGTCCGTTTGGTCCTTCCTTCGCTCTCTCCGACTCTTCTTCGCCGCCAAAGTCTCCGTTCGTCGGACCAATAACTGTCAAATTTAAGCAATTTCGTTTGAGATTTTTGTCTCACTCTGGTTCTAGAGAAATAAAGTTAACCTTAAATAAAAACCTTTGCTTTCTGCGTTCTGAGGAGGATCAGAGACCAACATTCGAATCTCTTTAGCGCCTTGGTCGGATTTTCCAGCTTGTTCGTTAGCTCCGCCGAATACTTGAAGACCCGGTCTATCCGAAACGGGTGACCCGTTGGATCCCCACACGAACATATGGAGCTCCTTCGCGTCATGACTATTCGATTTTCCTCCGGCATGATGATGGCTTTTGCTACCGGTTTTACTAGCGGCGGAGGAGAATTCCGGGTTAGGAGCTGGGTACGACCCGGCTGGTCCCGGGTAATACCCGAATCTCGGCGACGAAGCCATAGCACAATTCTCATCGAAATTCGACGGTCTTGGAGTTGGTCCCCTCGACGACTGAACGGAATACATATCCGCCGGTCCAAAATTCGATAACCGGCCACCGGGAAACCCCATCATAGAGTAGAAATCGGAGTTATTGAAATTAGATCCTCTCGGAGTCGTGCTGAGACTATAAATCTCAGCTCCGGTGAGATTCGACGGACGAGGAGTCATGTTAGGACCACAAAAAGATCTCCGAGAAGCGTTCGATTTCCTAACGGTGACGTGTAACTTCCCGTCGTCTCCGATCTGAGCGTCCGTCTCGAGGAAATCGTGACCGTCGAGCGAAACGACGTCGGATTCGACTTTAAAAGAGACGATCGAAGCCGCCGTCTCCGGGAACTGCTCCATGATTAAAATCTTAGCTCCTCTGTACTCGAAGAGGAAGAGGAGGAGCGTGTACCAGATTATACACTGGAGAACGACGATCTGGACCATGAGGGAGCCGGAGTAATCGCCGTACATGGCGATCAAGAGAGGGATTCCCATGACGAGCGTGTTGGGGAGCGTGGAGAGGGAGAAGATGGTGATGCTCCACTCGAGAGTGCCTGAGCGAGTGAAATTGGCCCAGATTGTTAGGAGAGAGAGCATGATCAATTTCTGGAGAGTATCGGCGGCGATGAATCGGAGGTTCATGGAGTAAGGGTTGTTGGTGGAGATGAAGTGGAAGGAGAGGAGAGGGACGGCGAAAATGGCGACGAAGCGGTTGATTCCGGAGCATTGGTCAGGTGAGAAGATTTTCCACCACCGGACGGAGCCGTAAGCGAGGATCATAGCGACGTAGAGTGGAATCACCGCCGTGAGCACCGTGTAGAGGTCGTGCCATGTGATCATTTTATCGCCGGAGGAAGTGGCAAAAGGTGTAATTTTTAGAGTGTGGAAAAAACCGTTAGGGAAGTGAGAGTGTGTGTGAAGTCAAAAGAATTTAGTGTCAGTCTCTCTCTGTACTCTGTGATGACGGAAGCTTAACAGAGACAGAGAGAAGAAGGAGAAGAAGGAGGAGGAGATTTTTGAGGATTATAGTTTTACGAGAAGACGTCCCTTTACAGCTCCCTTTATACAGCAAACACATGACGACTTTAAAGTTCCTATTTTTGCTTTATTTGTTTTTAACATTTACTATAGATATTTTATCCGCACCTTTTTTTTCAACCATCCGTGTTTCTGACTGAACTTTTCCCTAATTTCTGTACCATTAATTTCTTAAGGATAATATATAATAAGATTCAGTATGGATTGTGTTTGAATGATATAGGCTATATGAATTTGTCTCCAAATTCTCTTACATTTTTATTATGGATTATGTAAATTTTTAGAGCTTTTTTTCGTTCAATGTTAAAAGCTGGTTTATGAAAAAAAACACACATTTGGCTAAACATGTTACTTATCTATTTTCACTATTTTATACGTCAATTTGCTTCTTCATTTTTGACATCTCATGTACATTCGTATTCAAAAAATTTCTTACATGTTAAAAAGTTATGTTCATAATGTTACAAAATAATTTATTTTAAATTTCTTAGTGTATAGATAGAGTCATATAAATGAAAATGTTCTATTCCGTTTGTATTTGGCGCCGTAATATATTTAAGAATTAAACTTCACTAACCAATCTTCTAAGATATGGTTTCGGGTTTCCTCTAGTTATATAGTTTCCTCTAATAAAATATACAAATGTTTTTTTAATGGTGACAAAAAACACATAATATTTCTAGCAAATGTATGTCAAATTTTGTTGGGCCAGTAACTTGGCCATAACTGGCTTTTCATATACTTCACATAGTGGGATAGAACGTCCTTGGATAATTTCCAAACCCCAATTGATTAAGTTCGATTAGACGAATGGAATCTGCATGATCACCTTGCTTGACCAGTCTATACAATGTTGTTACTTAATTAGTCGTTAAATTATAGAACTAGTTTTCATAATAAATCTCACGTGCATGTGCAACTGATGGTGATATTACTGAGCTAGGCTGATGATGATGGTTATATAATATAATGGAGATTATAATGATGATGATATGCTAATATAATGAGATGATGACATAGCTAAGTCCATCAAACAAGTGGTGAGGCCTAGATGATATTACAATTAGCCCATCAAGCATTTCCTTGGTACTATTTCCTAGATAGAAGAGATAACCTTGATTGCAATCAATTGAGATAAAATGAGTAATGTTGTTAAGTGTATTGATGATTTTTTTGACAGGTAGAACATCGGTTTAGTGTGGTTTGAAATTTCAACGATTTTATTTTTATTTTAATTAATCAACCCAAAACGACGTTGTTTTCTATTTTTTATTTGTTTCCTTCAATATTTTCTTCTATACCTGTATGAATTAGAATAAGCAGAGGTTAACTTTAGATTATTTGAAAGTGCTAACGATGGGTAATGCCGTAGTGGTGATATAAACACGTGATTAGGGAGTAATAATATTCATATAAATTGCTAAAGCAAGGGGCGTGTAGGCCTTATTCGCCAAGATCTAAATTTTTAAATCTTTATTGTCCTGTTGTTTTTTTTAATAAGCGATGGCTTAATCATGACATCCTATGCACTTCCAAGAAATTTGTTTTTAACTTTTAGGCCACCCTTTAGAATATCCATAAGGTGTTTTAGACATTCTGGCTCATGGCGCTAAAAAGCATCATACCTAATCCGATATGAAATCTTATAGATTTTCACGCTAGAGTATCTTAAAAGTCTTTTTCTTCTAGTAATTATTTTAGTTCACAATGTTATTGAAAATCAACAGAAGACGAGAGAGTTAGTTAGTCCGATGGCTTAATCCGATCAATGTCACCACCGGCCAAAAGTACACTAAAAATTGGCAAAACTAATAGATTAAAACATACATCTTGAGATTCTTGACCAAAATCAATAATGGAGAAAGAGAGAGAGGAATGTAAAAGTACAACTATACTGAAAATAAAAAGATGAAGAGATTACATAAGAAAAAGGTAAACGTTAACCATCGAGCAATTATCACATTTTGGACCGAGAAAACAAAAAATATATTATAGTCAAACGTTATTGAGAGATGGGCCTTTAAGAGAGAGCGACGCAACCGCTTCCGCAACAGTCAAGAAGAGAAACTCAGGCCTCATGAACTCTTCTTCTTCATCAGCTCTTTGTAGCTTCTCCATCACTTCACTTAAAGGGTTCACAAATACAAGCTGCACATATATTCGGTTTAGATCAAACACAAATCATAATATCTTGGTTAAGTCACGAAAACCCGGTTTGGAAAACAACTTTACCTCGATGTTCTTCTTCGCTGTTGTTTTCTTCAAATCCCTAAAGAAGGCGACTCCGTTTGTGTCCACCCCGCTCACGGCTTTTTTTTTTAACATATATAAAGGAATTAAACAGAGTCAATTACGAAAACCGATTTATGGTTAAAATGGATCGGTTTGATTAAGACTAACCTGACATTTCAAGAATCAAGAACCGAAGGCTAGAATGCTTCTCCTGAGCTTCCTCTTCTTCGCATTCTTCGATCCAACGAGATGTTCTACAACGTTTATAAACATATTATCATTCATGGCAATAGCTATTAAGAAATGTGGTTCATGTAAACATAGCTAAACCGGTCATCTAAAAATGCTAAAAAACACTATAACAGACCCGAATTCGGACTTAACCGTGACAATGAAAATCAACATATTCGTTCGTAGACTTTTGAAAACTTCTTAAGAGATAAAAAAATGAGTGGATCCTATCCAAACTTTCAAACTACATAAAGAAAATAACATAATTTAGAAGCTAACCTTTCGGTGAGGTAGTTAGAATTGGCGAAATTGACCGGAGACTCAATGCTTAAGACAAGGAATCCAGGGATCCTCTGAGCATCTTTATAATGATGAAGATTCCGGTAGACATCAGTCCCCGGAATATTCCCCATAATAACGGTCTTAGGCCTCGTGACTTGCATCAACACCTTCAACAAAGATAGCCCCACCGCAATGGCTAGACCGTGTTGAACAGACAAGAAAACGACACCAAAGAAAGCGCATAGCATCACCAAGAAATCGAACTTATCGATCTTCCATATGTAACGAGCCGCGGGAAGGTCGATGAGACCGATGACCGCGGTCACGATGATGGCACCGAGGACAACGTTTGGAGTGTATTGAAAGAGCGGCATCAAGAAGAGGAGTGTGACCATGACCGTGACGGACATCACGATGTTTGAAACCGCGGTTTTGCATCCTGCGTTGTGGTTAACCGCAGATCTTGAGAACGCTCCGGTCGTGACGTAGCATGAAGTGGCGGATCCTACTACGTTCATTAGACCTATTGCGATCATTTCTTTGTTTCCGTCTACGTGGTAGTTCTTTAGCGCTCCGAATGTTCTTCCCACTGCGATTCCTTCCTGTTTCGAATCGAGTTACTTGTTAGTCACGCGAGGAATGTTGCAAAACTCTCTTTTTTTTTTATTTTCTTCTATGCGTTTGAGATTGAAAGAAAGTTTTTACAGTGAGGGAGACGATTCCGGTGATAAGTCCGGTTTTGGCGACGAGTCCAAGATGACTTCCGTGAAACTGAAGCATGTTCCAAGACGGTGGATTTAAACCTTCTTGTAACTTCCCAATCTGTACACCAAAATTACAAGATTTTAATAAGAAAAAACGTCAAAAAAAACAGAGGATTGGTTATGTATAGAGAAAGGAAGAGAGAGAGGGAAGCTTACGACGCTGATTCCATGACGGTCAGCTTTAAGAACAAAGACGAAAAGCGTAGAGACGATAACTGAAAGTAACGGAGCTCCGGCTGAGACCCAGAACAGCTTCGGTTTCTTCATGCTCTACATTCAAAAACACTTTATTTCTCAGTTTATTTGGATACTTGCATCTACATTCAACAACACTTTGCTTTCTTCTGAAATCGGTTTTTTTTTTTTTTGTTTGGTTATTCTTTGAAGTTTTAATCAAAATGACTAAAAAGTATAACTTTATGTAATAAAATTTCAAAAGATAAAGTTTATCAAATGTGATTTTGTAAATAAATAATTGGTTGTTTTTCTATTCCAAAACCATTTGTTCGTTATTTATGGCGGGAAGAAGGTTTAGAAAACGATGGCAGTCCACTGTAATTGCAAGGTAACAAATGTTCCACATGCATATTACCAAAAAAAATGCTTCATATATTACCAAAATTTGTTCCACATGCATATTACCAAAAAAAAATGCTTCATATATTACCAAAATTTGTTCCACATGCATATTGTTGAGGGAGTATTTAAGTGGTAAATTAACAGTGAGCGATAAGCAAACATACGAGGTGACGTGTCGCGAGCAGGAACAGCAAGAAGAAAACTCCCATCACAATTGTTTGCCATGACCACTGCACAGTTGACAATACCATTAATTATTGGTAAATAAATATGAGTAAAACAGGGGAAGAAGAAGAGAGAAACCTCTTTAATGTGTTGGAAAACAGAGGAAAGAACAGGGACTACACTCATATGCTTAGTGAAATGAGTTATCCCAAGCAGAGCCTTTAGCTGTTGCAATGACACTATTATTGCTGCTCCCGCCATAAACCCTATTAGCGTTGCCTTTGATAGAAAGTCTATTAAGAATCCCAGCCTGCACATTCCAAAACAATACTAAATACTCCCTCAAGTACTCGATTTTATTATAATTTTTTTTAGTGTTCACTGTTTTTTATAAGTTTTAAATTTCATATAGTGATCAACTTATTTTTTTCAGATAAGATAAAAGAATATCTCATTTTATTTTTTTTCACATATGATTAGATAAATTTCCTCTTAAGAGTTAAAAACCAAATCAACACAACATAATATATAACCCTCTAGTTCGAAAAAAAAAATATATATATATATATACATATAGTAAAGCCTAGCACAGGCCCAATATTGATCTATGAACACATACGCATGTCTCAACAGAACAGTCAACAGATATAAGTGGTTGGTTCATGCAAAACTAAAACAGCTTTACGAGTAAATATAAACAAATATATAATTATAACCTGAGGAATCCAAGAGATGCTTGAAAGAGACCAGCGAAGAAGGTAGAAGAGAAAGCGAGCTGTAAAAAGAGAAGAGGATCGTCTACGGGAGAAACTTGTTGCCTTAGCATGGATCCTAAGATCAACGACGCTATGGAGACTGGTCCCACCGCTAGATCTCTCGAACTTCCGAACACCGCATA